CCTGCACATCCCCCCTGAGGCCGCTCGCCCTTCGGAGCACGGGGTTCTTATGCTGTGAGAACGGGTCTGACTGCAGTGTCCCCGGGAGCCTCTGGGGCTTTGACTCGGCTTTGCACCGAGCATCAGGCCGCTCTGCTGCTGGACCCACCGCGGTCGGGAGGTCGGCCACGGGGAAGACCGTGCAGTGGGCCGCCGCACGCTCCGGCCGGGGGAGCCTGTGCCGCTGCTGCCAGGAGGGGCTCAGCCAGGGCTCCGAGGGGGGGGTCGACGCCCAGGAGGCCCCAGGGGGGGGGGTCAGTGAGGCTTGGTGCTCCTGCCGAGTAGCCGCAGCCTCCCTCCCCCTCCTCACACCCTCGGATACGCTGCAGAGCGGCTTATTCTACGACGCGAGACAGTCTCTGAACAGGCTGGACCTCACGTCCGCTCACACGTGCGGCAGAGCCCACACGGAACCTCGGCTTGTGCCGCGGCAGCTCTCTGTGCGCTGGGCGGTGAGAGGAGAAAGACCCGGTGGCTGCGGCCTCAGGGGTCAGGCTGGCCCCCTATCGCTCTGCTGGGCTCCCCGGGCTGGGACCCTCCTGGTGTCCGCCCCGCAGCGGAGTGGGGCCGAGGCCGCAGGCGCTGCCTCCGGCCCAGCCTTACACGCCTCCCCGGGCCCAAGGTGAGCTGGAGGCGCTTTCCAGGCACAATCACTAATGCGTCTCCTGCCCGGGCCCTGAGCAGCCGTCCTGGCCGCAGACAGCGCTCAGGTGACGGGTGCTGCCGGCCTCCAGCCGAGCACCCACCAGGCACGCTTCCCGGGTGCCCCGCGCACATGCCCACAGCCGGCCCCACAGCGGGAAGCACGCGGGGTGTTCTCAGGCCTGTCCCTCCGCGCGCCCTCATTAACCTGTCGCAGAGGCAGAAACGGGCACCGGAGGAGACCCAGGGCTGTCACTTGTGGGCCTCGGGTCTCTTAATGTCTTGTCAGCTGCAGCTGAAAACCTGGCTTAGCCGCTATTTTTAATCAGCCTGGACATAAAAATAGCCGAGCCCATCAGGCAGTGACGCAGGCCCTTCTCACCCCTGCGGGAGCGGGGCCTGCTGTGCGGGGCAGGTGCGGGGCCAGGAGCACGCGATGCCCAGCACTGCAGCCCCGCCTGCAGCAGACGTGCCTCCAGGGCAGGGCTTCCTGCCCGCCGACCCCCGGCCGTCCCCTGCGGTTCCCACGCTTGGGCGGCCTCCCTGCCGCCTGTCAGCCCAGCACGGCCTCTGGGTCCCTCAGGCTGGACTCCCAGCCTGTGGAAGCCTCGACCCGACCCTCGAAGAGGCCTTCCCTGGCCCTTGCCGCCTGCGGGGCGTGTCCCCTTCCTTTACGCCCAGCACAGGCTCTGTCCCTTACTGCCTGCGTCTTCCCTCCCCGTCTGTGGAGGCTGGTACACTTGTGCGCACCCAGTGGGCTCCAGAACCACCTGGGGACTCGGTCTTGGGGAAAAGGTTCTGAAAGAGTCCATTCCAAGTGGGCTAGAAAAATCTAACTGAGGAAACGTGAATCCCTAGCCCACCCGCCTGTGCATACAGTCAGAACAGGCTGCTCTCAGCGCAGCCCTTCCCTCAGGGCCATGAGTTCAGGGCCAGCAGAGAGCACCCCTGATGCCCCCGCCCCTGCTCTTGGCCTTGTGCACCTCCAGTATCTGCTCTACAGTCCTCGTGCAGGGCTTGCGCTGGGGGGAAAACGAGGAGCAAATGGCTATTACAGATGGCACCCCAGGATCACAAGGGCACAACTTCTCCTTGAAATGGAGCCCACGGGTGGGGGTTGCAGGATAGAAAAAGCAGTGGACAACCACGGCTCCAGACTCTTCTCCCCACCGGGCTGGGCTGAAAGCTTCCCTGCCACCCGTTCTTGTGTCCCAGTCAGTGAGCCTGTGGAGTAATTACTGCTGGGGGAGGAGTGGATGGGGGAGGAGGGCCAGCTCCCTCCCCAGGGAAAGGAGGGAAAGCAGGGACCAAGCCCGTAAGACACAAGTAACTATCACTTATGTATTAGAAATACTTTAAAAGTTTCAATTACAGGTGACCTACAATATGTGTTGTAGGTGGTAGAACAGTGGTTCCCAACCTTCTGGCCCTTTAAATACAGTTCCTCATGTTGTGACCCAACCATAAAATTCTTTTCGTTGCTACTTCCTAACTGTAATGTTGCTACTGTTATGAATCGTAATGTAAATATCTGATATGCAGGATGGTCTTAGGCGACCCCTGTGAAAGGGTCGTTCGACCGCCAAAGGGGTCGCGACCCACAGGTTGAGAACCGCTGGTGTAGAACATAGTGATTAGACATTTACATAACTTACAAAGTGGTCCTTTTGTATGTCTAGTGCCCATCTGGCACTATACATAGTTATTAAATATATTACTGACTATATTCCTTCTGCTGTACTTGACATCCCCGTGACTGTCTTTATAATTGGCAAGAGGTATGTGCCCACTTGTATTTCTTAATTCCTTCGCCTTTTTCACCCCTCCCCCCTCCGATCCCGCAACCATCAAGTTGTTCTCTGTATGTATGAGTTTGTGGTTTAGTTTGTTTTTTAGATCCCACATATAAATGACATCATACAATTTTTGTTCTTCTCTTATATTTCACTCGGCATAATTCCCTTTAGGTCCGTCCATGTTGTTGCGATGGCCAGATTTCATTCTTTCCTCTTTACTGCTGAGTGGCAGTTTATTGCATATTTGTACCATGTCTTCTTCACCCACTCGTCTACTGGTGGACACCTAGGTTGTGTCCATACCTTGGCTATTGTAAATAATGCTGCAGTGAACATAGGGGTGCAGATACCTTTTTAAATTTATCTTTAGATAAATACTCAGAAGTGGAATGCTGAGTCATGTGGTAGTTCTGTAACTTTTTAAGAAACCTCCATCCTGTCTTCTATGGCTGCACCAATTTACAGTCACTGAGGATAGCCATTCTAACAGGTGCGAGGTGTTATCTCATTGTGGTTTTAATTTGCATTTCTCTGATGATTAGTGTTGAGATCTTGGCCATCTGTATGTCCTCTTGGGAGAAATGTCTATTGGGGTCCTCTGCCCATTTTTTAAAAAATTAATCCTCACCCAAGGATATTTTTTTTCCATTGTTTTTTTTTTTTAGAGAGTGAAAAAGAGAAAGGGAGGGCGGGAGGAAGTATTGGGGAGAGGAAGGGAGAGAAAGAAACACTGACATGAGGGAGACAAGTCGAGTGGTTGCCTCCCACAGGCACCAGGGAACAATCCTGCAATCCAGGTGCATGCCCTTGGCCGGAAATCGAACCCTTGGACCTTTGATCTATAAGCCAGTACCAGGCTGTTTTGATTACAGTGGCTTTGTAGTATAACTTGATAACCAGTATTGTGATTCCTCCAACTTTGTTCTCCTTTCTCAAGATTGATTTGGCTATTTGAAGTTTTTTATGGTTCTACAAAAATGTTAGGATTATTTTAGTTCTGTGAAAAATGCCATTTGTATTTTCATAGGGACTGCAATGAATCTGTAGATTGCTTTGGGTAGTATGGGCATTTTAATGATGTTAATTCTTATCTATGAGCATGATATATGTTCCCATTTATTTGTATCTTCTTTAATTTCTTTCTTCAGTGTCTTTTTTAAAAAAAAATATATTTTTTATTGATTTTTTACAGAGAGGAAGGGAGAGGGATAGAGAGTTAGAAACATCGATCAGCTCCCTCCTGCACACTCCCCACTGGGTATGTGCCCACAACCAAGGTACATGCCCTTGACCGGAAATGAACCTGGGACCCTTGAGTCCGCAGGCCGACGCTCTATCCATTGAGCCAAACCGGTTAGGGCTTTCTTCAGTGTCTTATAGTTTTCTGAGTACAGGTCTTTTTACCTGCTTGGTTAAATTTATTCCTAGATATTTATTCTTTTGTATGCAATTATAAATAGAATTATTTTTTTAAAATTACTCTTTCTGGTAGTTTGTTATTGGTATATAACTTGCAACCAATTTCTGAATATGAATTTTGTACCTGCTATCACTTTATTGAATTCATTTATTAGTTCTAATAGTTTTTTGTGTGTATAGGTTCTGTATCTGGTGTGTCATCTGCAAACAACAGTTTTGGATGCCTTTTATGTCTCTTTCTTATCTGATGGTTGTAGCTAGGACTTCCAATGATATGTTGAATAAAACTGGTGAGAGTGGACATCCTTGTCTTGTTCTTGATCTTAAAGAGAAAACTTACAGCTTTTCACCACTGAGTATGTTAGCTGTGGGTTTGTCATATATGGCCTTCATTATGTTGAGGTATGTTTCCTCTGTCCCCAATTTGCTGAAAGTATTTATCATAAATAGATATTGGATTTTGACAAATGGCTTTTCTGCTTCTATAGATACGATCATTGATTTTTATCCTTCATTTTGTTTAGGTGGTGTATCACATTAATTGATTTGTGGATTTTGAACCAGCCTTGAGTCTCAAGAATAAATCCCACTTGATCATAGTGTCTGACCTTTCAATGTATTGCTGGATCTGGTTTGCTAATATTTTGTTGACGATTTTAGTACAGTGGTTCTCAACCTTGGCTGCACATTAGAATCACCTGGGAATCTTTTTAAAATCCTGATTTCTGGGCCCCACCCTCTGGAAATTCTGTTTCTTTGTTATGGGGTGTGGCCACAACATTAGAAACAAAGAAACAATTTCTGGAGGATGAGGCCCAGAAATCAGGATTTTAAAAAGATTCCCAGGCAATTCTAATGTGCAGCCAAGGTTGAGAACCACTATTTTAGTATCTATGTTTATCAGGGACATTGGTATATAATTTTCCTCCCTCCCCTCTGTCCGTTTTGTCTGGTTTTAGTATCAGGGTAATGCTGGCCTCATAAAATGAGCTTGGGAGCCTTCTCTTCTCTTGAATTTCTTGGGATAGTTTGAGAAGGACAGGTGTTAGTTCTTCTTTGAATGTTTGGTTCACCTGTGAAGCCATTGGTCCAGGGCTTGTTTTGGGGGAGTTTTCTAATTACTGATTCTATTTCATTCATAGTAATCAGTCTGTTCAGATTTTCTGTTTCTTCTTGATTCATTCTTGGAAGATTGTATGTTTCTAGGAATTTATCCATTTCTTCCAGGTTGTCCAATTTGTTGACATATAATTGTTCATAATATTTCCTTATAATCCTTTGTTATTTCTGTGGTATCTCTTGCCACTTCTCTTTCATTTCTGATTTTATTTACTTGGATGCTCTCCTCTTTTATCTTAAAGTCTGGCTAAAAGTTTATCAATTTTGTTTATAATTTTAAAGAACTAGATCTTGGCTCTAGCTGGTTTGGCTCAGTGGATAGAGTGTTGGCCTGTGGACCAAAGGGTCCCGGGTTCAATTCCGGTCAAGGGGCATGTACCTTAGTTGCAGGCTCCTCCCTGGCATAGGCCCTGGTGGGGGCTTGTGAAGGAGGCAACCAATCAATGTGTTTCTCTCACATCATGTTTCTCTCTGTCTTTCCTTCTCTCTTCCACTTTCCCTAAAAATCAATGGAAAAATATCCTCAGGTGAGGATTAACAAAAAAAGAAAAAAAAAAGAACCAGATCTTGGTTTTATTGATTTTTTTCTATTCATTTTTAGACTCAATTTTGAATTTTGTTGATGTATACTCTGATCTTTATTATTTCCTCCCTTCTGTTCCCTTTGTGTTTTGTTTGTTCTTTTTCTAGTTCTTTTAGGCATACGGTTAGATTCTTAAATTTATTGAGACTTGTTTTGGGGCCTAACATGTGGTCTATCTTGGAAAATGTTCCATGTGCCCTTGAAAACAATGTATATTTTGCTATTTTTGGGTGAAATGTCCTAAAAATATCAATTAAGTCCATCTGGTTTAAAGTGTCATTTAAGTCCACTGTTTCCTTGTTGATTTTCTGTCTGAAGGAACTATCCATTGATATCAGTGGTGTGTTAAAGTCCTCTACTATAACTATATTACTGATAATCTCTCCCTTTATGTGCATCAAAATTTGCTGTATATATTTAGGTGCTCCTGTGTAGATGTTTTTGAGAGTTATAGCCTCTTGTTGGATTGGTCCCTTTATCATTATGAAATGCCCTTCTTTGCTTCTTGTTATAGCCTTTGTTTGAAGTCTTATAGCCCTTGTTAAAAGTCTTATTTTATGTGATATAAGTATTGCTACCCTAGCTATTTTTATTTCCATTTTCATGAAATGTCTTTTTCTACCCCTTTATGTCTGTGTGTGGCTTTTAATCTGAGGTGGGTCTCTTGTAGGCAGCTTCTATATGGGTCTTTTTATTTTATTTATTTTAGTTAAACTTATTTATTTAACAAAATCTTTATTGTTGAAAGTATTACATATGTCCCCTTCCCCCCGCGCCCCCTATCCAGCCCACCTCTGCCCCCCACCCCAGACTCTCACCACCCCACTGTCTATGTCCAGGGGTTATGCATGACATATTGGTCTTTTTATTTTTTAAAAATATGTTTTTATTGATTTCAGAGAGGAGAGTAGAGGGAGAGAATCATTGATCAGCTGCCTCCAGCACGCCCCCCACTAGGGACTGAGCCCGAAACCAGGGCATGTGCCCTTGACCAGAATTGAACCCAGGACCCTTCAGTCTGCAGGCTGACACTCTATCCACTGAGCCAAACCAGCTAGGGCTATATGGGTCTTTAAAAAAAAATCCATTTAGTCACCCTGTGTCTTTGGTTGGAACAATACATTTACACTTAAAGTAATTACTGATAGTTATAGAATTATTGACATTTTATTCATTGTGTTTGTAATTCCTCCCTGTTCCTTTTTTATTCTCTTGCACTCTTGTATAGTGATGACTTTCTAGTGTTGTGTTTAGATTCTTTTTATTTCTTGTATATCTCTTGTAGATTTTTGGTTTGTGGTTACCAT